CTCCGCCGCGTGCTCGTGCTCGCGCAGCTCCGCCTTGCACTCTTTGGACAGGACGGCCCACACGCGCACCGTCTGGTCGTTGGAGCAGCTGGCGATCAGCGAGCCGTCCGGGTTGGGCCGCACCATGCGCACCCACTCCCGGTGGCCCGCGAAGGTCTTCACGCAGTACCTGTGCCCGCACAAGACAGGACTCGCCTGACCAACGTTTCCCACAAAGCCACGCTCGGCCGCACGTTTCTTTCCGCTCATTCGATCGGGGGGGCGCCGTTGAGGTCTGCCGGGACGCGTCGCCGCCGTGCGTCATGGTGAGCGTGAAGAGGCGGCTACCGTCGCTCTCTCCCGCCGCGCCCGCGCATCGGCGGCCGACGCCGACTATTTCTTTTCCCGTTTCCGCCCTCGTCCACAAACGCAGGCGGAGCGGCTCCCAAAGGGGCGCTTTGCGAACGTCCGCCTGGACGCGGGGAAAGCGCGGGCGACGCTCGGGCCACACTTAGCACCTTAGCCCAAAAACCGAGTCGGCATCAATTCAGAGGCCCGCAGAACGGCCGGATGGCATTTTGTCGGCGCAACCGTGCCGTGCCTTTGGACTGGACGGCAAGCGTGCGTGCGTGCGTGCGTGCGTGCGTACCCGGTGGCCACCTCCCACATTTTGATGGTCTTGTCTCGCGACGCCGACACGATGTGGTCGGCGTTGGGCATGATGGCGACGGACGAGACGTTGTGGTCGTGGCCTGCAACATCAAACGGCCGCCTGAGTCTGAGCACATGGCGAGAGCGAGCGCCGGCGGGCGGCGGGCAGCACGCGTGCGCGCTCACCGTGCATGGTCCTGATGCACTCGAAGCCTTGGAAGTCCCAAAGTTTGACGGTCATGTCGGCCGAACACGAAGCCAGCAGCTTGCCCGTCTGGTCGAAGGAGACGTCCTGCACCGAGTCCGTGTGGCCCTTGAGCGTGCGCTCAAAGTCCCCCGCCTCGTAGTCCCACACCTGACGCGCGGCGACACAACGCAAAGCGCGTTACGGGACGGTTGCCCCCGGCAACGGGAGCAGCTTTCGAGCCGCCGATGAGGAAGCGGCGCGCGGCTCGCGGGCGCTTCCGAAGCTTTCGGGCCATCTCGACACGGCGACGACGGCATCATCAGCACCGACGCTTGACGCCTTGGGCCGCGCATGGAAGAGCAACCCCTCCCCCAACACAGATCCGTTTCTAGGGGATTCCGTGGGACTTTTTCCCCCTCCCGACCCTTAAAAAAACAAAACAAAAAAAGGAGGAGTGGGGGGGGGGAGGGTGGCTGAATTGAATTTCAGTCTCGCGAGATGTGTGCCCGAACAACAAAACGAAACCTCGCGCGCACTCGTCCGCGCCGCGCTTTGCTCCCACTTTTGTTTTGAGCCACGCCCCAATTTCTCCCGTTGCCCCGCGGCCGCAATCCCGTCGCATCAAACGAAGCCGCTAGCGGCGTACACGGGCCCCGGCCAGCGGCGGACCGACCTTGATGGTGGCGTCCTCGGAGGACGTGACCATGACGGAGAGGACGGGATGGAAGACGACCCGGGTGACGGGAGCGCGGTGGCCGCTGAGGGCGTAGCGCTCCGGGGGGCGAGGGATCCACTCTTTGGGGTCCCTCTTGCGGGCGGCGGGCCCGCCGTGCCGCGTCATCTCCTCCTTGGCTTCGTTCAGCTTGGACTCCAACTCCATCACCTCCAAACAAAGGGCGGCAAAGTTGACGCTTGGCCCCCCCCCCCCCCCCCCCCCCCCCCCCGCTTCTGCAACCGGATGACCGACGTCCACTTCTTTTCCAGGAGCCCGGCGTACTTATTGTCCACGTCTTCATTCTGGACATCATCACACGTTCAGCCAAACGAGGCGGCGTGGGAATCGTCGCGGGCGTCGGACCGCTCCTCCCGCTTGCTTTTCGGACCCACGCCGGCGCGAGCGTTCGCTCCAAACACGGAGGAGCGCCTTTGAAATCAACGCGACGAGCTCCGACGAAGGCTGAGGGGCCAGCCAAAACTGTCGACTTGGAAAGAGTTTTTCTCTTCTTCTTTTTTATTTTTATTTTAAAGAAATCCTTCAACCTAATTCAACTGCGAAGACGACAAGATGAACGTCGCACAAATAACTCGCCGACGTGTCCGAGCGCCACGACGTCGCGGCCGCTACTGGCAAGGAGGACGAACTCAAAGTCAAACTTTCTGCCTTGACGAGTCGCCGACACCTTGAAATGAAGCGGCTCGTCGCGGTCCGGGTCCTCGGCCAACTTGGATCAAATCCCTTTCGCTCAAACGGGACGCCGTTTCTTGAAGCCCCTCGTAAATAAAACGCGTCACATTAAAAGCTGCACGCTTCAAAGTGCGGCGAAAAAAAGCTATCAGGTCTTTCTAGGAAATGATCTGCCACTGGTTTCATTTGACGGATCAGAAGTACTCAACACTGGAGTACTTGTATCGCTTTGAAAAAAGTGCGCGCCGACATTCTTTCTCTCTTTTTTTTTTCATCCTGGGACTAAAAAAAGTGGAAAAGGTTGCGTTTGGGTATCAGTCGCGTATCAACGCCACTGTCGCTCCCAAAACGATTTAAGCGGGCAAGCAAAAGTCCCCTGAAGGAAAGTCGAGTGACTGACCATGTCCAAGTCGGCCTCCTTCTTGAAGGTGCAGTAGGCGCCGTCGCATCCGCTGGAGCGCAGATAGTCGGCGACGGCTCGGTTTCTGGTCCGGAGCCAGGTTGCCGTGGAAACCACACACACATACACATAAAAGTATGGCACAGATTGGGGTGCGAAAGGCGCAACACATCCCACGTCAATATTTCAGCGCTCTTGCGTCAATTTAGGAGGCCCCTCCACTCTGACGGGAGGAAAGTTGAGAGGACACGCGCGCACCCCAAAATTGTTGTCCCGCAAGAATTTGGCTCGCAAACGCGTGCGGTAAAAATGCCATGCGTGCATTTTAACCCTCCTCCCGGTACGCGGAGCGAAGGCGCTCCAACCGGGTGCGCGTCGGCCACACCGCACGCAGGAGACCGAACGCGCCTCAGGTCAGTAGATCTCCAAGTCCGGAAGCGGACTTTGCCAAATTGGCGGCCGTCGAGGTTTGAGGTTTGTCCAAAAACACGCGCGCACGCGCACACTTACAGTTCGTCTCTTTGTCTCTGTGACAGCACCATGATGACGGCGGCGGGAGATGCCGAGGCGCGTCAGGCGGGCTCGGCGGCGAAATCCGGCGCGTCGATCCTCACGCGCAGGAAACGGGCGGACAAGCGGCCCCGGATGAGAAGAGAGGAAGCTCAAGTGGAAAGGCGCCGTCAGCGCTCGGCGCCGGCTGGCTGCCACCTGAAGGAAAGAACACCTGACAATGACTCCCTCCAGCCTCAGTCCCTCCAGAGGGGACCAATGACGCCGCGACCGCCGTGAGGACATTCGGATGGAGCCGACGAGGCCCGGAGTTGCGTCATCGGTGAGATTCAACATCGGCTGACTGAACGTGCGCTTGCAAGCAAGCCTCATTGACCCTTGACCTTTGCCACGGCGCCATTCTGAACTCAAGTTCAACTTCTACGCCGGTCAAGTGAAGCTGCATACGGAATTTCAAACCAGTCTCCTAATTGCAGGTTGACATTTTTTCGAGATGGGAGTCGATTGCGTCGTTCCCCGTGGTGGGAGAGGGATTTGGATCCCCCCCACCCTCCCTTTGGTGTGAGCCAAAAATGGAAAGGTTTGAATCGGTTTGGCTTCCGATCGAGGGAGGAGTCACTTCTTCGTTTTTCGACCGCCAATTCGAAAAGAAGAGAAGGAAACGCCGGCGGAGTCCACCGCTCGTGGCGAATCTTTGTCGGTTTTCCTCGCGAGCGTGGGCAAAAAGTTGCCAAGTTGCAAAGCGGCCGGGGCCGAGCAGCACCAAAAGCTACGACGCCCTTTTCGGCGGACGCTAGTTTAGCCGCGAGCTAGTTGGCCGCCTGCACCTGCACCTGCACCTGCACCTGCCCGATGGCGGCCGCCGCCGCCGGCTTCCACAACGCCGGCTTGGCGACCTACCTGAAAAAGGTCACGTCGTCGACGAGGAGGAGGAGGAGGAGGAGGAGGGCGGCGGCTGCTCCCGAACGCCTCAATGTGCGCAAGTTGACAACAAGGCGCGCACACCAGCGAGCAGCCCGAAGCGAGTCGACTCGTCGCTCATCATTCGGGAGCCGTGCACCAAACGGGGCGTCACTCACTCACTTGTCAGCCGCACGCGTGACGTCAGCCTTTCGAGCTGAGAGCACCAAAGGGCATCTCGTCAAAAGACGTCAACAAATTGACAATTGCGCGGCCGGTGGGCGTCCGCGCTGAGCGCGACAGCTTCGCGGTTCGCACTCGGCTCGTCCTCGCCGGTCGCGACCGCCGTCAGGCGAACGTTAGCCGGCCGCGAACGTGCGCCGAGAGGCCGCGCGCGACGACACCAAAGCACTTTCCACCTCGCCGCCAGGACGTTTCGACACCGCCCAGAGTGGAAATGTTGGGCTTGCCTAGCCTAGCCTAGCCAAGCCTAGCCTAGCCTAGCCTAGCCTGCGGTCTCTCCGCCACGAGAACGAAAAGCGAGTCAACGTCGCCCCAAAGCCTCCTTGGGGACGCTCGGACGACTCACCCGTCCGTGAATATGGGCGCTCGCGTCCTCTTCAAATGGTGAAAAGGCGCTCTTGGGCGGCGCTGCTGTTCGCGCGCACATCGAGGGCAAGCCGCGCGTCGGGACGATGCCCGTTTGCACGAAAGACTTGCTTGAAGAACCGCGCCTTTGCGTTTTTCGGTTTTAGAGGAATAAATAAAAAACCGGCGTCGGGCAGCGGACTCGAGGTGCGTTCAACGACCACTCACACAGTCGGAAATGTTCAACATGCTGAGAGAAGCCCATTTCATGCACCGAAAAGCGCCGCCTGCTACGCCAGCTCATTGCAGCGACCAAGTTGAAACATCCGACCATTGATTAGCCTGATTATTAACCTGTGGCACTGACGCACCAAAATCAGAACAGCCGCGTCTTAAATCAACTGTTTCAGTCAAAATCAGATGACTGAATGTTGTTCTTATTCAGCGTTTTGTTCCGGATGTTTTCATTTTAATGATCTGTTTATAGGTGCTCTCCCCCCGCCCCCCTCTCCTTTTCTGGTGAATGTTTTCAGAGTTGTAAATGGGCGTTCGGTCGTTGGTTCACGAACGAGTGAGTCCGGAAGGAGGCCCACTAGCGCGACGTCACTTCCCGTCTTTGCCTCTCGCAACCTTCGGCCGACGCCCGCGACCAAATCGTGGCGTCATGCGCTTGACGATCCGCCGCCGGCTGGGGACCGAGGCGACGCCGCATCCCCTCACGGGTCGGGAATGCTCGGCGGGACTCGGATGACTCCTTGCCACCTCCTTGTCGGCTTTTCAAAATCAAAGTCCTCCCTCGCCACCGCGCGCGGGAGATTCTTTGGGAGAAAAACGTTACCTGAGCGCAGCAAGTTTGCATTTGGGAAGATCTGTCATACGCGCCTAATTATGTGAGAGCCTGACAGTTTACGGTAACGACACCGCCCAGAGTGGAAATGTTGGGCTTGCCTAGCCTAGCCTAGCCTAGCCTAGCCTAGCCTGCGGTCTCTCCGCCACGAGAACGAAAAGCGAGTCAACGTCGCCCCAAAGCCTCCTTGGGGACGCTCGGACGACTCACCCGTCCGTGAATATGGGCGCTCGCGTCCTCTTCAAATGGTGAAAAGGCGCTCTTGGGCGGCGCTGCTGTTCGCGCGCACATCGAGGGCAAGCCGCGCGTCGGGACGATGCCCGTTTGCACGAAAGACTTGCTTGAAGAACCGCGCCTTTGCGTTTTTCGGTTTTAGAGGAATAAATAAAAAACCGGCGTCGGGCAGCGGACTCGAGGTGCGTTCAACGACCACTCACACAGTCGGAAATGTTCAACATGCTGAGAGAAGCCCATTTCATGCACCGAAAAGCGCCGCCTGCTACGCCAGCTCATTGCAGCGACCAAGTTGAAACATCCGACCATTGATTAGCCTGATTATTAACCTGTGGCACTGACGCACCAAAATCAGAACAGCCGCGTCTTAAATCAACTGTTTCAGTCAAAATCAGATGACTGAATGTTGTTCTTATTCAGCGTTTTGTTCCGGATGTTTTCATTTTAATGATCTGTTTATAGGTGCTCTACCCCCGCCCCCCTCTCCTTTTCTGGTGAATGTTTTCAGAGTTGTAAATGGGCGTTCGGTCGTTGGTTCACGAACGAGTGAGTCCGGAAGGAGGCCCACTAGCGCGACGTCACTTCCCGTCTTTGCCTCTCGCAACCTTCGGCCGACGCCCGCGACCAAATCGTGGCGTCATGCGCTTGACGATCCGCCGCCGGCTGGTGACCGAGGCGACGCCGCATCCCCTCACGGGTCGGGAATGCTCGGCGGGACTCGGATGACTCCTTGCCACCTCCTTGTCGGCTTTTCAAAATCAAAGTCCTCCCTCGCCACCGCGCGCGGGAGATTCTTTGGGAGAAAAACGTTACCTGAGCGCAGCAAGTTTGCATTTGGGAAGATCTGTCATACGCGCCTAATTATGTGAGAGCCTGACAGTTTACGGTGCCAGCATTTCGCTCGGAAAAGAGCGTTTCGGCGGCGTGTCTGAGAGGGTCATTTTTCCGAAACGTGTGAAAGAGCCTTTCGGCAGCGGGAGACCGTCCATTGTGTGTGAACGTTACAAAAATGACGGAGTGTGAGCGTAATGCAAGGGAGAGAGAGCCTTTCAGGTCAATGTGAGAGCGTTTAGTTTAGGTGTGAGTGTGTGTGTGTGTGTGTGTGGGAGAGAGCAAGGCTTCATTGGTAATTGTTTCAGTGGCGTGAGAGCATTTTGGTAGTAGACTGGAGAGTGACCTCGAGCTCTTCGAGGGCACGCGTGAGCGTTTCAGTCGGATTGCGCGCTTAGTTTTACGGCTCTTTTGGGATGAAAAGGTCCTGGAAAGACAGTGAAAGTTTGTCAAGCGGTGATTTCATTTTCAACGTTGGCACTGATGACAGGAAGGCAATAAGTTGGCATCAAGTCATCATCCGGCGCGGCCGTCAGGTTGGAACAAAAGCGAGAGCAAAGACCGGCGCGCGCGCGCCCACGTCAGCCAATCGCAGGTCGTCCGGCAGCAGGTCAGCTGGGGCGGCATCACAGGGCCGTCTCGCCCTCGGCGCCGCCCATGTCCACGCGCCCCCGCAGGCCGCAGCCCTCGTCCACGTCCTCCCAGTCGTCCTCCCAGTCGCCCGCCTCGCCCCTCCAGCGCGGGGGCAGCAGGAAGAGGGCGGGGTCCGGCATGGGGCGCGGCCTCTGCGGCGACGTCACTCTCTCGCGGGGGACGCACGCCCGCACCCGCTCCGTCCTCACGCCGGGCCT